ACAACTTCCTCGTTGGCTCAAGGGGGTGATTCGTTCAAAAAGGTTAAGAACCACTGTTCTTAATCATCCTAAATAGGGATTGTGCTGTTCCAATTTTCACCTATGATGAATGGCTAAGAGAACTAGGTTTGCTTAGCCTAACAAAAAGAAAGTTTGGGGTGTGACAGAATAGCATCTTCCAATGCTTGAAGGAACATCACAGGGAAGAGGAGTTGATTCATTCTCCGTAGAATCTGAGGGCAGAAGGAGAAGAAGCAATGTCAGGAAGCTGGCCACAGGGAGATCCAATTTGAAAATGAGAAATTTCCTGACAGGGAGAACAATTCATCAGTGGAATAGGTTGCCTCCTGGGGTTATGGGCGCTCCTTCACTGGAGGTCTTGAAGAAAAGATTGGACAGTCATTTCTCCAGGATGCCATATAGGGTCTCCTGCCTTGGGTAGGGAGGTGGACTAGAAGATCGCTGAGGTCCCTTCCAGCCCTGTGATTCTATGTTCTATGTACCAAGAAGAGCAGCAGTTGGCTACCCATCTTCAAGGGCATTTTGCATGCAGCTGTGGGACTAGAACACCTCCAAGGATTCTAACCCCAAAGAAAACTGCTCAACCCAAATCCCAGCCTCCGTGTGATTGTCTTCGAGACTTTTCCGTGGTCCTAAAGCAGGAGCAGGCAACCTTAGTTCTTTTATGACTCGTGGACTTCAACTCCCAGAATTCCTGAGCCAGCCATGCTAAAGGGAAAGGGAGAGGTTTCTAAGCTGAGCCAGGCTGGCTCAGGAATTCTGGGAGTTGAAGTCCACGAGTCATAAAAGAGCCAAGGTTGCCTACCCCTGTCCTAAAGGCATCTTGACTCTGGGCCAAAGACATGCCCTCCATTTGCACAATTGCCAGTGACCGATCTGGCCTTTTCTCCCAACCTCTGAACAGCTCCTGTTTTTTTGGCAATGCCAATCAGCTGATTGACAGAAGATGTCCCTGTCCTCAGGAAGCAAGCCGTGGGGCTGACCCACCTATTGCAGCCGTACCTGGCAGAGCCCATTTATATAACCTCAAAACAAAATGTCCCAAATTAACTGGCTTCACACGGTGTGTTGATTGACGGGTTGCTGCCTTCTTGTGTCACCACGAGTCCTTTTTCTCCCTCACTTTAGAAATGCTTTTGTTAAGTTCTTGTTGCCTCAGAGCTGCTTGGTGATGAGTAATTCCCATCAGGGAGCTTCTCCATTTCTAGAAGGCAACTTGAATCTACCTATCCACCTACCTACCTATCTATTATCTAGCCATATGTACGGCTGCAATAGGTGGGTCAGCCTCACGGCTTGCTTTCTGAGGACAGGGACATCTTCTGTCAATCAGCTGATTGGAATTGCCAAAAAAAAAAAAAAACAGGAGCTGTTCAGAGGTTGGGAGAAAAGGCCAGATTGGTCACTGGTAATTGTGCAAATGGATAGATACCTATCTATCTATCTATCTATCTATCTATCTATCTATCTATCTATCTATCAATCAATCATCTACCTACCCAGATTCGAATCTCATAAAGGGTGTGGCTAGCTCAGTGATGGCGAACCTTTTAGAGACCAAGTGCCCAAACTGCAACCCAAAACCCACTTATTTATCGCAAAGTGCCAGGGCTGCATCAGCGTTGTAGTGCCCTCAGGAGGGGCGTGGGGGGCATGGCCCAGTGGGGGGGCATGGCTGCAGTGGTCACAGCAGACTGGGTGAGCATGGCCAGGGCCAGTCCCTTGCCATCTCAAGGGCATTCCTGGGAGGCCACTGCCCCTTGCTTGCTCACTTCCTGCCTTGTCGCTTCCAAACTCCATGTGCCTGCTACTCTGGTGAACTGTGCTGGGTCAACGGCACATGTGCCCACAGAGAGGGCTCTGAGTGCTGCCTCTGGCACACATGCCATAGGTTCGCCACCACTGGGCTAGCTCATGAGGGCTAATGAGCCTGAAATAGCTATACTAGTCTCCCTCTTAATTTTCTAACTCTTTCTCAGTAAAAAGAAATCTGAATATGTATGTATGTATGTATGTATAATCTATCAGGCATTTCAAACTCATGACATCACGTGATGTCGCGTGACGTATTGGGACTTTCCCCCCATTGCCGGCAATGGGGTGGGCATGGTTTCAGCATCATTTTGGAAAGATGTCTTTGTTTGCCAAAGGAGTTGGCAGCTGGAATCTTAAGTTGTGTTTGTTTGAACTGGGCGTGGGACTGTGGAGCAGAAGCTAATTTACCATTGTGCCGTTGTGCATAGGTTTTGTAATACGTAACGGAATAATTCCCAAGCATCATAGGGAAAGTCTCCGTGGCACACAACACAGCTGGATAACTGTCTAGATCAGGCGTGTCCGGCAACTTTAAGATTTGTGGACTTCAACTCCCAGAATTCCCCAGCCATATATGCTGGCTGGGGAATTCTGGGAATTGAAGTCCACAAGTCTTAAAGTTGCCGAGGTTGGACACCCCGATCTAGAAGTTAGAGAGGGTGTGGTAGAGACAAACATAGTTGTTGTGAAAGACTTACTTACACACACACACACACACACACACACAAACACACAGATGCAGACAAAAAGATACCAGGAAGTGCCCAGGTAGTGACGAAATCTCTATTAACACCAGGAGGTGAACTGGAGCCTCAGTATCTCTCTATGAAGCCTTGAGGACACATTTACAAATTCTAACAACACTGGGAGATCTGGCTCTGATTTGCAGCCTAGCTTCCTTTTATAAAGTTTTTTTGTTTTGTTTTGTTTTGTTTTTAAATTGAAAATTAAAAATATGTCAAAACTTCCTGTGGTCACTAAGAAAATTGTCTGGAGCATTTTGATGTCCTTGCACTAAGCCGCTTCCCCTATGTTCCAGCCTGTTCAGGAAGTCCGACTTTCACACTTAGGCAAGCTCGGGGCGTGACAAAATAAGTGATGCAATTCGCAAGCCGCTTTTCTTCCTTTTTACAAAGCTGGGAATCTGTCATTTCAATAAAGCTGCCAATCAACTCGGCAGACTTTCAGGTTGTTCAGCCTGTTCCACGATATATCTTTTCAGAATGCTCCTCCTCCTGTGGTGTTAAGCTTTGGGGGTACTTAAAGTAGATATCATGGTTCCCACGGATGAAACTCTTCCAAGAACTTCGAGGCATTGTTTGCCTTAAAGAATCTTTATTCGAGGAGCGTAGCATAGCCAGAATCTGAATTCCCCTCCCCTGAGCACATAGTGTCAAAGCACAATTCCCTCCTCTAATTTCCAGTCATAAATCACATTCTCTGATTAGTTTGAAATGCAGACTCTCCCTCCGGTTCTCCAGCCCAATTCTTACCATCTCTTATTTCCAAAACCTTGGTTCTCACACTAGTTACAGTATTGTTATGTCTAACTATACTCCCATACACATTCCTCCCCCCCCCCCAGTATCATCTAATTCTAACTAATTCTAAGAGTAAAACATAAAAAGGAAAATGGCTGCATCTCCATATGTGGTCAAAGCAGAAACATCCGATGTTAGCAGCGTTGACAGCAGAATCTAGGTAATCCTCGACATACGACCCAGAATTCCCCAAATTTTCTGTTGCTAAGTGAGACCTTGGTTGTGAGTTTTGCCCATTTTACGACCTTCCTTGAACTATGGTGCTGGAGAAGACTTCTGCGAGTCCCCTTGACTGCAAGGCGATCCAACCAGTCAGTCCTAGAGATCAACCCTGACTGCTCTTTAGAAGGCCAGATCCTGAAGTTGAAACTCAAGTACTTTGGCCACCTAATGAGAAGGAAGGACTCACTGGAGAAGAGCCTGATGCTGGGAAAGATGGAGGGCAAGAGAAGAAGGGGACGACAGAGAAGGAGGTGGCTGGATGGGGTCACTGAAGCAGGAGGCGTGAGCTTCAATGGACTCCAGAAGATGGTAGAGGACAGGAAGGCTTGGAGGAACGTTGTCCATGCGGTTGCGATGGGTTGGACACGACTTCGCAACTAACAGTAACAACAACCTTCCTTGCTGTATTTGTTAACTGAATCGCAGCCGTTGTTAGGTTAATAACCCGGTTGTAAAATGAATCTGGCTTGTTGGGCAGGTCACAAAAGGGGATCACATGATCCCCTGGATGCTGTGACCATCATAAATATGAACCAGTTGCCAAGCATCCAAATTCTGATTGCGTGATCCTGGGGATGCTTCCACAGTCTTAAGTGTGAAAAAACAACCATAAGTCCCTTTTTTCCAGTGTCGTCGTAACTTTGAACGGTCACTAAACGAACAGTTGTAAGTCTGGTACTGTACACAGTCATGATTACTTCAAGGCAAGCCACCCTGAATTTGGCAGGCTATCTCTAGTGCTGGTTTTCAGGCTTCCTTACCTGTCGTTTGCACCTGTGTCCCTCCCTGGAGTGATTCACCAAGCTGCGTAACAACATTGCTTGGCATGGGAGTGTCAGGACTTGGGCTGTTTGCCTGGAGTTATTCATTAAATGGAGCTTGCAAAGTTGAGCTAGCCAGCTAAGCTATAATGGAAGTTGTTTGGTTGTGCTCAGGAAGAGGCAACAATTTGGTGGCCAAGAGCCCCCCCTTTTACAGCGGGAGGGTTGAGGGCAGCCCAAAAGGTGTGGCTATTTTTAGTGGAACGCGGATCTGGGAGGGGCTCTAAGAATTGTCTTCATTTTGGGACTGACATGCCCATTTTAGGGTGTCTAGTTACCCATCTGGGAGCACAGGAAACTACCATTGGTTCTCAGCCATCATGATTGGGAGGGGGGTGTTTCTTGACAATTTAAAGATGTGTGGACTTTCAACTCCCAGAATTCCCCAGCCAGGCTGGCTGGGGAATTCTGGGAGTTGAAGTCTACACATTTTAAAATTCACAGCGTTGAGAAACATTAGTCAAGACCGTAAACAGAATGGTTCAAGAACCTCATCTAAAATTAAACATACACCCCTGTCATGTTCCAGGAAACCTATTAATATTCTTTCTTCTCATCTCTCGCTCTCCTCCTTTTCCAGGATCCTTCAGTCACTCAGCTGACCAACGCGAACCAAGGTAGCCTGGATGAGTTCAATCCATTCTCGGAGAATTCTCGGCAGGTAAGTTCAGGGTTAGAGTCAGCCTTGACTGACATGGTTGGATCCCGGGGGGGGGGGGAGACCTTTGGAGCAATATTCTGGATGCTCTACCACTACGCGGTATGCAGTTTTCAGAGATTTTATATGTTCTTTTAAATTGTTGATTGGGGGCTGCCCAAAGTTGGTTGAAAGAGCAATAGCCCTTAGACCAGGGGTCTTCAAACTTGGCCCTTTGATGACTTGTGGACTTCAACTCCCAGAATTCCTCAGCCAGTGTGCTTGGCTGAGGAATTCTGGGAGTTGAAGTCCACAAAAGGGCCAAGTTTGAAGACCCCTGCCTTAGACTTACATACCGCTTCACAGTGCTTTATAGCCCTCTGGTTTACAGAGTCAGCATATAGCCCTCAACAGTCTGGGTCCTGGGTAGTTACATAAATGTTCTTTTTTTAAAATAATAATTAGGAGCTGGTTGGAGATAACTCTTTATTTCCCACTTTCTGATATCTGCTCCCTTCCTCCACATCTTTTAGTTCTAGTTACAACCTGTATTTTTATTGCAATGTTACCTACCTGCATACGTACAGTTCTGTTTTGATGTTGTAAGCCACCTAGAGTCACCTTGTGGAGTGGCAGACAAATTTCAATAATAGTGATGTTGATGATGACCCCAGACTTAACAATTGTCGATAAGAAAGACAAAAAAGTCTGGATAGTGGACATGGCAGTGCCTGGAGACAGCAGAATAGACGAGAAAGAACTGGAAAAGATAACAAAATACAAAAACCTACAAATAGAAATAGAAAGACTGTGGCAAAAGCAAGCAAGGGTAATACCAATAATGATAGGCTCCTTGGGTGCAATCCCAAAACAACTGGAGCACCACTTGAACACCATCATTGGCATTGACAAATTTGCCATTAGTCAATTGCAAAAGGTGGCCTTACTAGGAACTGCTTCCATCCTGCGACGATATCTGTAATACCATCAAACATCCACATCTGCCTATCCCAGGTCCTGGGTAAGGACTCAATAGGTAGACAAAATGCCAAATCCAGTCTGAACATCTGGCCGACTGTGCGATGATCCATAATAATAATAATAATAATAATAATAGTAATAGTAATAATAGTAATAATAATAATAAATGTTTTCCTTTCTTCCTTTAGACAAATACAGGTCAGCCCATCCCAACAACACAGCCTGCTGGCGCTTCTCAACCTGCCGTGTTGCAGACCTCTGTGGAGCCTACCCCACAGGTGCACCCCCTCCCCCCCTTCACTCCTTGCATTATTAGAGTCTGCCTCTGCAGGACTTCATCCTAGATCCTATGCTATACCATAACAGACAGGCCCATGAGGTGCTGATTAGGGTGCTAGTCCCCTGGAAAAGGTATCTCAATGTCCTTTTCTGTGCATTTTGTGTGTGTGTGTGTGTGTGTGTGTGTGTGTGTGTGTGTGTGTGTGTATATATATATATATATATATATATATATATATATATATATATTTGGTCTCTGCTCATAAGGAAGAGAAGGTTAAAAGGAAAAACAAGCTTGTGTTCTGGGTATTTCATCTAGAACACTCCTTGCCACTCCCTTTCTCCGGTAAGGTGGGATTCCAACTCCCAGGGTCCATAGCTTGCTCAGATGCGGTCTCTGCACCTCTGGGGGAGGGGCCAAGAGGAAGAAGGCTAATGTGACATGGGACCAGGCTGGATTAAATTAACCTCCTGCCACTGTCACTAACCTGGAATATTTGCTGCCAAATCCCTCCCTAATTTTAGAAGTACACTGGCCCCTTCAGGACCTTTGCCTAAATTTTGTTTCTCTGTTCATTCTTTGCTTCTCTGTTTTGTCTGTTTTGATGCTCTCTGAGCTTGGTAGTTTTCTTGCAGATGCTTCATGACCAGACTGGGTAACATCATCCTTCTCCTCCACTCTGCACACCCCTCTCCCTTCCAGCACTGATGGGTTGTGAAACATCTGTAAGAAAAGCTCACCAAGAACCCCGTAGGTCTGTGGTGGCGAACCTATGGCATGCGTGCCACAGGTGGCACGCAGAGCCCCCTCTGTGGGCACGTGCGCCGTCGCCCCAGTCCTTCAGCTGGGTTTTATAAAACCTTTTCGCTTTAGGCCTCCGCCACCGTGTGCAAAAAAAAAAAAAAAAAAGGTTCAATCAGTCAATTTCAACTTCTCGCAGGAAAAAAAAAGATCTCACAAAGTTGGAATTGATTGATTGAACTTTTTTAGTCCCACCCAGTCTGCTGTTACCATTGCAGCCACGCCCACCCAATGGGCCACGCCCACCTGGCACCCAACGATACATAAGTGGGTTTTGGGTTGCAGTTTGGGCACTCGGTCTCTAAAACAGGGGTGGTCAACCTTGGCTCTTTTATGACTCGTGGACTTCAACTCCCAGAATTCCTGAGCCAGCCAGGCTGAGGGGAAAGGGAGAGGTTTCCAAGCTGAGCCATGCTGGCTCAGGAGTTCTGGGAGTTGAAGTCCACGAGTCATAAAAGAGCCAAGGTTGACTACCTCTGCTCTAAAAGGTTTGCCAATACTGCCATAGGTCAACCCTGAGCTACAAATAGTCCCTCTTTTCCCTTTTTTACGGTATCTCCTTCACATTTCTGTATTCTTGTTCCTTTGACTTTGGGGTTTCCACAATTTAGTTTCTTCATGGCCTCGGTTTTTCCTTCCTCTCCAGCTATTTTGTCTCAAGTATTCTGCCTGCCAGGCACCCCCTTAGTTGTTTGCTGGGGCGGATGGGATTTGGCATCCAGTGTGCAGAGACTCCTGGCTCCCAGATTAAGCCAATGACAGGCAGACACGTTTTGCAAAAAACCTCACAGCAATCCATGTCTCCACGGGCGACAGTGGCTTTGCCTAAACCTCCTCCCCCAAAGAGCTTAAAACCAGAAGAATATTTAATTTTTCTTCCTTGTGAGGAGGAAAGAGGGGCATTAAATGCATATTCCTAGCGGTCTGTTTTCCCATGTGCAATTTTTTCTTCTCTTTCCCCTGCCTTTGCCTTACTTGTCTAACCTGTTTTGGGTGCGAGTTACTCAGTTGCAGAAGCTAGCAGACCAGGCCCGTCCCATAAGCTTAGAACAAGCCTAGTTGTGTGTTGCAGCTGCTGCTTAGACAGGCCAGCAAGTACCTGACTCCTAAATTCATCTCAGCAAATTCGGAAGGTTCAGAGAGGCAGAAGTTGCTAGAGGACAGCAGCAGTCAGATTCGCCGGCAGGTAAAACGCGAAAGGGTAGCCAGTAACACCTGAAGACTGTTGCACCCCTTCCTCTAGGACAGGGGTGGGGAACCTGGGCTCTTTTACGATTTGTGGACTTGTAATAATAATACTAATATAATAATAATAATAATAATAATAATAATAATAATAATACAACAACAACTGGAGAAGATAACAAAATACAAAGACCTACAAATAGAAATAGAAAGACTGCGGCAAGAGCAAGCAAAGGTAGTACCAATAGTCATAGGCTCCTTGAGTGCAATCCCAAAACAACTGGAGCACCACTTGAACAACATTGGCATTGACAAATTCGCTATTAGTCAATTGCAAAAGGCGGCCTTGCTAGGAACTGCTTCCCTCCTGCGACGATATCTATAATACCATCAAACATCCACATCTGCCTATCCCAGGTCCTGGGTAAGGACTTGATAGGTAGACAAAATGCCAAATCCAGTTTGAACATCTGGCTGACTGCGATGATCCATAATAACGTTGGAAGGGACCTTGGAGGTCATCTAATCCAACCTCCTGCTCAGGCAGGAAACCCTCAGACAAACAGTTGTCCAGTCTCTTCTTAAAAACTTCCAGTGTTGGAGCATTCACCGCTTCTGGAGGCAAGTTGTTCCACTGGTTAATCATTCTAACTGTCAGGAAGTTTCTCCTTAGTTCTAGGTTGCTTCTCTCCTTGATTAGTTTCTCCATCCGTTGTTTCTTGTCCTGCCTTCAGGCACTTTGGAGAATAGCTTGACTCATTCTTCTTTGGGGCAGCCCCTGAGATACTGGAACGCTGCTATCATGTCCCCCCTCATGCTTCTCTTCATTAAACTAGACACCCAATTCCAGCAACCGTTCCTTATAGGCTTTAGCCTCCAGTCCCCTGATCATCTTTGTTGCTCTTCTCATGCTGGCTCAGGAATTCTGGGAGTTGAAGTCCACAAGTCATAAAAGAGGCCAGGTTCCCCACCCCTGCTCTAAGAAGTTACAGGTGGTCCTCAACTTACGACCACAAGGGAGCCCAAAGTTGCCATTAATAAGCGGGACAGCTTTCCCATTTGATGACCTTTCTTGTCACAGAGCTGCTAAGGAGCACGATGGCATCTTGGGCCCAATCAAAATACTTGAGACTCATCTCCAGGAAGATGAAAAGGATGAGTCTGCATGCGTGCCCATCCGAGAGGTGGATGATGTTTCAGGAGTGAAATGCACACTCTGTCCTCAGAAAGTTGAGCACCCTTTTCAAATGTATACCGGTGTTCCTTGACTTTACCACCCCAGTTGAGCGAATTTCTCTTGCTGAGCAAGACAATGGGTTATCTGAGTTTTGCCCCCATCTTTCTTGCCACAGTTCTTAAATGAATCAGGGGAATTCGGGCAGTTGAAGTCCATATATTTTAAAAATTGCCATGTTTTAAGGCAGGGGTAGTCAACCTTGGCTCTTTTATGACTCGTGGTGTCAGAATCCAATTATATTTCATCTCTAGTTATCAACTATGGAAAACCCCATTTCTGCCTTCTCTGGGTTCTGTCATACGATGAAGGGAAGGGGGTGAACAAAGGGGCTTTATGGCCCTCACTTCCTTCAGTACACTTCAAAGAAACTGGATGTGGATATCACCAAAAGGACTAACAATAACAATGGGGCTATTACCTTTCATGTACTCCTCTCTGAAGTCTCCCTCCAGCCAGCAGTAAGGAAAAGGGGGTGGGAGCGTAATGCCTGAGACTGTCGCTGGAAGAAGGGGGTGATTGGGTGGGGCTACTGGGGAACCCCTTAAAACTTTGAATGGGAGAGCTTGGACCCCAAGTCTAGAACGCCTGCAACCATTTTCTCTTAATAAAGGATGCCTGTTGGAAGAACTATTCCAAGAGTTCTTAAGATGCAAAGTGGGGTGGGTCCTTACACGTGGACTTCAATTCCCAGAATTCCTGAGCCAGCTTTGCTGGCTCAGGAATTCTGGGAGTTGAAGTCCACGAGTCATAAAAGAGCCAAGGTTGATTACCTCTGTTTTAAGGGGTAAAAAGTGATACGACTTCCACTCCAAAAGAATTTATAGGTACAGGCTGTTTCACTAGCACCCCTACCCATCCCCTAGAATTTACTTTCACCCTCCTCTTCCCCTTTCTTATCATTTTTATTTCTTCTCCCCCATTTTCAGTCTGTGGCCTCATCAGCACAGGCTGGGCTTCTGAAGCAGCAAGAAGAATTAGAAAAGAAAGCTGCAGAATTGGACAGAAAGGAGCGCGAACTTCAGAACAGCGCAGCAGGCTTTGACCGTGAGTAATAACAGAGTTGGAAGGGACCTAGAAAAACCAAATGTACAGGTACAGTATAGGGAGTACCTTGCTTAATAGTAGTAACTGTGAGAGGGACCTCGGAGTCCTAGTGGACAATCACTTAGATATGAGCCAGCCGTGTGCTGCAGCTGCCAAAAAGGCCAACACAGTGCTGGGCTGCATTCACAGAGGGATAGAATCAAGATCACGTGAAATGTTAATACCACTTTACAAGGCCTTGGTAAGTCCACACTTGGAATTCTGCATCCATTTTTGATCACCACGATGTAAAAAAGATGCTGAGACTCTAGAAAGAGTACAGAGAAGAGCAACAAAGATGATCAGGGGACTGAAGGCTAAAACATATAAGGAACGGTTGCTGGAATTGGGTCTGTCTAGTTTAATGAAGAGAAGGACGAGGGGGGACATGATAGCAGCGTTCCAGTATCTCAGGGGCTGCCCCAAAGAAGAGAGTCAAGCTATTTTCCAAGATGCCCGAAGGCAGGACAAGAAGCAACGGATGGAAACTAATCAAGGAGAGAAGCAACCTGGAACTAAGGAGAAACTTCCTGACAGTCAGAACAATTAATCAGTGGAACAACCTGCCTCCAGAAGCTGCGAATGCTCCAACACTGGAAGTTTTTAAGAAGAGACTGGACAGCCATTTGTCTGAAATGGTATAGAGTTTCCTGCCTGAGCAGGGGGTTGGACTAGATGATCTCAAAGGTCCCTTCCAGCTTTATTATTATATTATATTATTATAGTTCAACCCCGTTGCTTCCAACCCTATCCCATTTCAGACAAATGGCTGTCCAGTCTCTTCTTAAAATCTTCCAGTGTTGGAGCATTCACCGCTTCTGGAGGCAGGTTGTTCCACTGGTTAATTGTTCTCACTGTCAGGAAGTTTCTCCTTAGTTCTAAGTTGCTTCTCTCCCTGATTAGTTTCCATCCATTGCTTCTTGTCCTGCCTTCAGGTGCTTTGGAGGATAGCTTGACTCCCTCTTCTTTGGAGCAGCCCCTCAGAGATTGGAATATTGGTATCGTGTCAACCCTCGTCCTTCATTAAACTAGACCTACCCAATTCCTGCAACCACGCTTGGTATATTTGAGCCTCCAATCCCTTAATCATCTTTGTTGCTCCTCTCTTTAACATTCAAGCCCTCCTCCAAATAATAAATGAGGAAGACATCTTCTCCAACCCCCTCCTCAGGGGAGGCTTCCAAATTCTGGCATCGTGGTGGAAGCCATTTCTGAAAGGCGTTCTCTTGTCTCCCCTCCAGCAAAGCAGAACAACTGGCCCCCGCTTCCACGGTTCTGCCCTGTCAAGCCTTGCTTCTATCAAGATTTCTCTGCGGACATCCCAGCCGACTATCAGCACGTTTGCAAAATGATGTATTACTTATGGATGTGTGAGTAAAAGCGGTGAAGCAAAGAGGCTGGGAAGCTTCTCCGAGATCACGAAACATTGGAATTTTTTTGTTTGTTTGAATTTTAAAAATACGTAAAAAAAAAAAAACCCAATTGGAGGTGCACGGTTGGTGCTGTCCCTTTCCATTTCCACCACGTCTTTAACCTCTGAGTAAAAATGACCCTTAGCTCCGTTCGTTGGGAAAGGTATAGTTTTATTAGAAGTCAAGTGTATTGCAGTTAAGCATAGCCAGCATTGAGAATCGCGCACCCAAATGACTAAATTCAACTTTCCCATCCCTTAACACAGGGATGGTGAACCTTTTAGAGACCGAGTGCCCAAAAACCGCGCCCCCACCCCTGCTCCGCTTCCCACCCTGCCTGCTCCGCCCCCACCCGTCCCCTGCCCCGCCCACCTGCAGGGACACACACCGCCTCCATGGTTCGCAGCAGATCACCCAGGCAGCCCTACAGCATCATGGCAGCCATGCCCTTCACCCACACCCCGCAGCATCATCTGCATGCTATGGGGTGCAAGGGCGGTTGTATCCCTGCTGCCCAGTTATGTCCTTGGCGGCCTGCTCCGTGTGGGCCACACCCGGGGGCGATTCTCCTCCAGGGAGGCTGCTGGTGAGGAGGGGGCCTTGGAGAGGCGGGGCTGGGGCGACAGCATGCGTGCCCACAGAGTGGGCTCCGAGTGCCACCTCTGGCACGCATGCCATAGGTTCGCCACCACTGCCTTAACAGTTTCCCATTGCTGACACACACACACACACACACAGACACACACACACACACACACAGACACACACACCATGACCAATCAGGTTCAGGCAAGATGTTTTCAAAACAATCAGTTTAAGCATAGGTTGGTACCGCAGCTGCTTTCTTCTCCCAGCCGGGTGACCTTGAGGTAGCATCTGGAGAAGATACAGCATGTACTTTCGCTTTCCCCCATGCCTCTCCCTTTCCATCCACTCTCCCCAGAGTTCATGGCAGATTGTCCCCACATGGTAGCGAAGCACAAGTCAGCATAAGGTGGCAGCTGACAAGCAGTTCCTTCTGGCTGGGGGGGGGGAGAGGAAGGTTAAGGGGAAAAGCCTCAGTTTATATTAAAAGCACAGGCCTTACCCTTATTATGCCATTCAGATTTTAAAAGTTGGATTTGGCTCCTGAATGTACCTCTCCTTGAACTTAATGTCACTTCGCCCAAGGTGCAGAGGAACGATTCTCTCTCATTGTCCTCTGGATTAGGAGCAGCACAAAAGATTTTCACTTTTAATTGATTTCACCAAGGCGGTGACAGCGTACAAGAGTTTAGAAAGCATTTTGCCAAGTGAGGAAACGGTAGGCCAAAACAAAAAACAAAAACACTTTTTGGACAGCTTGGTTCATCAAACAGAGGTACGATTGGAGGAACTTGGCCAGACCGTCCCTTCAAATAAAATAGTCTTTGAAGCAGGTCTGTGCAACGCAGAGCGTGTTACCACTCCAGAAAATAAAATCCTTGGGGGTGCAAGAGCATCCATATTTGTCGCTCCCAGGGGCTTTGAGGAAATCCCTACGCATTTCGGATCTTTAGCGCAGGGGTCTGCAACCTTGACAACTTTAAGACTTGTGGACTTCAGCTCCCAGAATTCCTCAGCCAGCTTAGCTGGCTGAGGAATTCTGGGAGCTGAAGTCCACGTCTTAAAAGTTGTCAAGGTTGCAGACCCCTGCTTTAGCAAAGCTTTTTCTCTGACTGCACTATTATTATTATTATTATTATTATTATTATTATTATTATTATTATTATTATTATTATTATTATTTTCTCTCTCTTGGCCAGTTTACTCGGTCACCTTGGTGTTAAACCTCCTCGCCTGCCTGGCATTGTTCACAGTGGAACCCTCTACCACAGGGTCGGATTTCGGCCTGTCCATCTTATGGCTTGTCTTGTTCACCCCCTGCGCTTTCCTGTGTTGGTATCGACCAGTTTACAAGGCTTTCAGGCAAGTACCATTTCCCTCCTGGAGGGCAGGGCTGGTGGCATCTAATATTATGTTGAAGGAAAAATGTTCATCAGGGTCCAGTCCAAGCCGGGAATAAACAACATGGCGACTGCTTTAGAAAGACGGTTGCAGTTTATTGAAGAGGAGAGTCAGACAGAAAGATGGCTCTGGAAGAAAAGAGAGAGAGCACATGTAGGGAGTGGGTTTTTATACCCTCTGGGGCTCTTGCGGTTATTTCCTGTTCCTGTTTGAATTTCCTGCTTTGTATTTCCTGTGTCATGTACTTTGACCTGAGTCTGAGCGTGCCTTTCTGGTATTCTGATGGTGGTGGGTTCATCCTATTATGTCCTGTCTTAGAGTTTGGGTGGGGTATGTAGATTTTAGGTGTCTTTGTCTTCCTAAGCTTCTAGCTGGAGGGCTCCAACCTTCCTGAATGGATTATTACATCTGCATTTCTACAGAGCTGGTTTCTGCTTGGGGGTGGGAGACTTGGGGCTATTGAGAAAAAAACTGGGCATGCTTTTTTGCCTCTTTAAGATCCTTTGAGGAAATATATTTTTCTGCCCTTTTAATATTTCCTCCTCTGGGGTGGGGGGGGGGTGGGGGCTGACTTCCCACAGTTGAAAGGGGCCTTCAGTGAAATTGTCACATGGGGCGGCCCCTGGCTTGACTTTCTCCCTGTCTCTTCACAGGTCTGACAGCTCCTTCAGTTTCTTCTTCTTCTTCTTCATTTTTCTTTGCCAAGGAATCGCCCTCGTCGTCCAGGCTGTCGGTATCCCTAACTGGGGGAGCAGGTAAGCCTCGGGGCTACCCCAAAGCCCTGACGGGCAGAGCATCTGCCTTTTGCTGACAGACGAAGAGAACTGCTGCCTTTGGGGGGGGGGGCTCTCTACTTACCCTTTTCTAAAGCCTCTTCTGTTTTTTTTTTTTTTTTCCTCCTGGTCTGCGGCTTCCACAGATCCCAGCTGAAGCACCTCTAACTCCATGCTTCCTGCCCTCACTCCTCGCCCAAAAGGCCTGTATTTCTTCTAACCTTCTCACATGCATCCCGCCCGTGCTGTGCTCACCCCTTCCCCTTGCGTGTTTTCTGATCTCTGGATGGTGTACGCTCTCTCTGCCTCTGCCTTTCTCTCTCCCCTTCTTCCTCTCCCCTTCTCTCTCCCTTTCTCTCTCCCTCTCCCTCCCGCTCTCTTTCTCCCTCTCTCTGCCTCTCCCCTTCTCCCTCACCCTCTCCCCTTTCTTCCTCTCCCCTTTCCCTTTCTCTCCTCCCTCCCTCCCGCTTTCTCCCTCTCTCCTTCTCCCCCTCCCTCTGCCTCTCCTATTCTCTCTCCTTCTTCCTCTCACTGTCCCACTTTCTCCCTCTCCCCTTCTCCATCTCACCCTTTCCCTTTCTCTCCTTCTCCCTCCCTCCCGCTTTCTCCCTCTGCCTCTCCCTTTCTCTCCCCTTCTCCCTCTCCCTTTCTCCCTCCCTCCCTTTCCCATTCTCTCCCCTTCTTCCTCTCCTCTCTCCCTTTCTCTCTCCCTCACCCTCTCCCCTTTCCCTTTCTCTCCTACTCCCTCCCTCCCGCTTTCTCCCTCTCCCTCTCCTTCTCTCTCCGCCTCTCCCATTCTCTCCTTCTTCCTCTCACTGTCCCACTCTTTCTCCCTCTCCCCTTCTCCATCTCACCCTTTTCCTTTCTCTCCCTTTTCCCTTTCTCTCCTCCCTCCCTCCCGCTTTCTCCCTCTGCCTCTCCCTTTCTCTCCTTCTCCCTCCCTCCCTGCCTCTCCCATTCTCTCCCCTTCTCTCTCCCTTTCTCGCTCCCTCACCCTCTCCCCTTTCCCTTTCTCTCCTCCCTCTCTCCTTCTCCCTCTCCCTCTCCCTCTCCCATTCTCTCTCCTTCGTCCTCTCACTGTCCCACTCTTTCTCCCTCTCCCCTTCTCCATCTCACCCTTTCCCTTTCTCCTCTTTCCCTTTCTCTCCTTCTCCCTCCCTCCCTGCCTCTCCCATTCTCTCCCCTTCTCTCTCCCTTTCTCGCTCCCTCACCCTCTCCCCTTTCCCTTTCTCTCCTCCCTCTCTCCTTCTCCCTCTCCCTCTCCCTCTCCCATTCTCTCTCCTTCGTCCTCTCACTGTCCCACTCTTTCTCCCTCTCCCCTTCTCCATCTCACCCTTTCCCTTTCTCCTCTTTCCCTTTCTCTCCTTCTCCCTCCCTCCCTCCCTCCCTCCCTCCCTCCCGCTTTCTCCCTCTGCCTCTCCCTTTCTCTCCCCTTCTCCCTCTCCCTTTCTCCCTCCCTCCCTCCCTGCCTCTCCCATTCTCTCCCCTTCTTCCTCTCCCTCTCCCCTTTCCCTCCTTCTCCCTCCCTCCCACTTTCTCCCTCTGACTCTCCCTCTCCCCTTTTCCCTCTCCCTTTCTCCCTCTCCCTCCCTCTGCCTCTCCCATTCTCCCCTCTGTTCTCTCTCTCCCTCGCCTCCCTCTCCCCTCTTTTTCTCCCTTCTGCGCTCTCCCCCCCCCTTTTTTCTGCCCCTTTCCATCCCTGGCTGTGTTTTCAGTTCTCACTCATTCAAGGCATTCTGGACTTAGCGGTCCTCAACCTTCATCTCCGTAACCTTCCTCTTTTTTCTTCCTCAAGAAACCGACCGAATCAAATCTGGGGTAGGAGGTAGTCTGTGTGTGTGTGTCCTGAAATCATTTGACCGGACAAAGTCAACTGAGGGGGGGGGGAGAACCATAGAGAAGCCCCGAGCAGCCCAGCTTCCAGGCAAAGTGGACTTAGCAGATTCAGTTGGTTGCATAAGTCTGGCTTATACCAGGAGGGAACCCAGGCCTGGATGAACCTGCCAGAACCGACGAAGCTTCTTGCATGAGAAGCGAAGGTTTTCCAGGAAAAAACCGAGAAAGTCGAGTTGCCGTTTGAAAACGCACCTTTGAGACAACCATGACCTGGATGACTGACAGTCTCCATAGACCAGTGATGGCGAACCTTTTAGAGACCGAGTGCTCAGACTGCAACCCAGAACCCACTTACGCATCGTCGGGTGCCGGGTGGGTGTGGCCCACTGGGTGGGTGTGGCCCACTGGGTGGGCGTGGCTGCAGTAGTAACGGCAGACTGGGTGGGACTAAAAAGTTCAATCCATCAATTCCAACTTTGCAAGATCTTTTTTTTTCCCGTGAGAAGTTGAAATTGACTGATTGATTGAACCTTTTTTTTTTTTTTTTTGCACACGGAGGCCTCAAGTGAAAAGGTTTTATAAAACCCAGCTGAAGGCCTAGGACTGGGGCGACGGTACGTGGGCCCACAGAGAGGGCTCTGAGTGTCACCTCTGGCACCCGTGCCATAGGTTCGCCACCAGTGCCCTAGACACATATTCCTGGCTACCACCAGTGAGAGCTTGAGACCTTTTAGACCAGACTGTTCTCTTCAGAGCGGAGTCTGTGGCAGAGACGTCTGCTTACTCTTTCAAATAGCTTCTTAGGAACCTCCAAGGGGATCGGGTGGTCCTTTGACACAGCTGGCCTCCTTCCTCCGCAGTTTTGATTCTCCGTTCTCCATGCAATCTGAATTCCTGCTCGTTCAATATCCCCCCCTCCTCCTTTTTTTCCCCTCTTCCTCCAGCGGCTGGATTTTGGCCCTCTCCATGACCTCAAACTTGGCCGTGAAGATTATCATGATGGTGGTGGCCGTGTTCTTCACAACCTGCGCCATTCTCTCCATCTTCCTGCTGAAGCGAGTGAGTTGCCTGCCGAAAGACAAATGACTGACAGCGGTTTAGAGTCCTGCAGTCATTGCCATGTAGACCTTTAAGTAGCCTTTTTCCCTCCTCTTCCTCCTCTTCCCATGGGAGAAAAAGCAGATTTCACCCTGCGGCGATTGGAGGTCCCCACTTCCCTCCCTGCCCTTTTTCTAGGCCAAGTGGGGCTGACGGATCCCACCTCCCCGAATATCCAAAAGGAGCCTAGTTGCCTGCCCCACTGATGACAGGCTGTCCTCGACTTACGACCACAATTGAGCCCCAATCAAATAACTTTATTACGGTCGTAGGGCAGCAATAGCCATCACTTTTTACAATATATTAAATAATAACAACAACAAAACAACAACATTAATAGTAAATAATAACATCCCTGTTAAGAAAATACATGTTCTCAAAATGTTAGGGTCACTCCCTAGCTCAGGGCTTTTCAACCAGTGGTACGGGTACCACCTGTGGTACATTGGCACCTGGCAGGTGGTACATGACCATCCTAGCGGGGGAGGGGAATGAGCTGAACCGGTGGCAGCACCGCACAAGCCTGAGCGAGAGATGGCTGGAGCTGCAGGGCTGTCAGGGCTCAGCGGAAGCACCAGGATCAGCGCTACTTTCCAGCTGATCGGCGCTTCTACGGGGTTGTCAGGGCTCAGCGGACGTGCCAGGATCAGCACCAGACTCCAGCTGGAGCTCGGCGTTGATCCTGACGCTGCTGCTGAGCCCTGAAGAAGCACCAATCAGCTGGAAAGCAGCACTGATCCTGGTGCTTCTGCTGAGCCCTGAAGAAGCACCAATCAGCTGGAAAGCAGCACTGATCCTGGTGCTTCTGCTGAGCCCTGAAGAAGCACCGATCAGCTGGAATTTTGCAGCCTCTCCAGGGTCTTGTGATTTACATTCAGATGCTTGGCAACTGATTCATATTTATGGCGGTCAGAGTGTCCCAGGGTCATGTGAAGTGATCAAAAGCTGCTGCAACTACGCAGCAGACGGGGGGAATAAAAACCAAACACCCCCACCCCACCCCCGCTGCCAATCCTCAACAGAAATGCTCACAACAATGAAAACCTCGGACAGGAGGAAGAGCACCGCCAGGTGGGCAGGCAGGCGTCTTGCTCGGCTGTGGCTTGGGGGGCACTTTTTTCAGTGCTATTGTAACTTCAAACAGTCACTAAGTGAGTTGTTGTAAGTCGAGGACTACCTGTACTTTATCACTTTTTTCCTTTTTTGGTGGGGGGGTCATCAAGTTTTTGACCCCTTGCTAGGCGACTGGTGGTATTCGGTTATTGCCATATCCTAAAAGTGGTACAGTGGGTGAAAAGGTTGAAAAGCCCTGCCCTAGTTTATGTGAGTGGATAGCCGATTAGTGTGTGAGTAAATATAATGTTCCAAACATTATTAGAGATAATCTCCAAAAAATTGGCAGAAGTTGACGGCTATCGATCTGTAACCAATTTTTTTCTTGTGGACATGGCCGCAACACCATGTTTTGCCACTGCATGCGTGATAGAAGGGTTTGAGTCCTGGAGGAGAAAGCCTACGTAAAAATGGTCTGCCCTCCCTGGCAATCTCTCTAATAAAGGGAGAATATATGCTGTCCTATAAACTCGGTATAACTCACAGTACAATAAAACAGTTGAGCCCAAAATTTATGTTGCTAAGCGAGACGTTAGCTAAGTGAGTTTTGCCCCCCTTTCCCACGTTGGTTGGCACGGTTCTTCAGTAAAATCACTGCAGTGGATAAGTGAGTCGCCCAAATTGTTAAGGGAAACTCACTTCCCCGTTGGCTTTGTCAAAAGGTCACAAAAGGGGATCACGTGACCCCTGGACACTGCAGCCGCCATAAATATGGGTCAGTTTGATCACCTGAACCCCATATGGGGATGCTGCAACGGTTGTCAATGTGAAAAACAGTCGCAAGTCACTTTTTTCAGTGCTGTTGTGACACTAACTGAACTGTTGTAAGCTGAGGACTACTCGTATGCTTCTAAAACAGGGGTCCTCAACCCCCAGTCCATGGACCAGTATTGGGCCGCAGCATGCCAGCAACAGGTCTGCACAAACAAGCAAAGCCCCATCCACAGGATGCAGGCAGGACACAAAACCACACACTCTCCGGTCCGTGGAAAAACCTGTCTCCACAGAATCGGTCCCTAGTGCCCAAAAGGTTGGGGACTTCTGTTCTAGAATATTTTTTGTCATGACTCTGTGGGCATTTACCCCATTAATACTACATTCGTGGTTACTAAGCCATGGTTTGTTGAACAAAACTGGCCAGGGGGAGGCTGCGACAGTTGTTAAGCAGGAGGACCAGCACCACAATCACTTTAAATGGTTGCTAAATGAAGGGTCATAAGTTGACGCATGCAACATTTGCAGAACTGGCCAGAGTGCCACCCCCCCTCATGCTGCGGTTGGGTGACGACGGTGGTGGTGGTGGTGGTGGTGGTCTTCTCCACTGGAACAGGGGATGAACGGAGCCAGCTCTGGACCTCCTGCTGGGGCTTTTAACTGAAGTTCTCGCCTTGCTTTGTCTACTCCCAAAGGTCCACTCGCTCTATCGGCGGACCGGCGCCAGCTTCCAGAGGGCCCAGGAAGAATTCTCCCAAGGCATCCTCAGCAACAGGAGCTTCCAGACGGCCGCTAGCGGGGCAGCTTCCACGGCGGCTCAAAATGCTTTCCGGGGAAACTGAAAATCCCCAGCAAGGGTCCTGCTTCCCTTCCGGATGGTACCCGATCCTCAACGTTCAGGCGGTTCTCTCCCCACGGGGTGGCGGGGGGGGTAGTCTTAACTCCCAAGAGACTCGCCGGGAGCTTTCTCTGAAACCTTGCCCTGTTCTCCATCCGCGTCTCTCGTGGGAAAGTGCAAAGATTAGGGTGTCTAACTTTTGGTGTGATTTTCTCCCTCCCCCCCCTTCCTTTCTCCCTTCCAATATACATCTTTTTGACTTATTTCTTGCGCTTTCCATTTCTTCCGTTGCCGGCGTTTGGGGGAAAAAACCGTTTGGCACTCTTGCCATTCCCAACGGAAGCGTCAATGAACAATCACTTCCCTTCCCTTCTCATCGTCCCAGCTGCTGTCCTTGTTGATTTTTAATTAGCCGAAGGCTCAGGCTCGTTAGCTGCCAGCGTAGGGTGCGTGTTTTCTGGGAAATATGGAAGACAATTTCTGGAGGACACTCCTTGCTCCCTTTTTTTTCCCTCCCTCCCTAAAAGCCACCAAAACCAGGTTTCCTATTTGGGGTTGAAGCGTTACAGATCGTTGGCGAGGATAAAGGCTTATTCACCAACCACACTGGCCTCTGAGAAGCTAGCAACCTGGATTGTGAAAGGAGGGGATGGGGCTTTCAGGTTCAATAGCGGAGCAAACGTGGAGATGAAGAGGGAAAATATTTCTAATTTGGGTAATCCGGAGTTTGATTTTACTCAATGCTGTTGTATCTGGTTTGGTCTCTCTGCCTTCCTCGTGCAGCTTCAGTACAACTACCAAACAGTTCTTCAAAAAGAGCATGCTAGCAAAAGCCCGTTTCTCCGCCCCCCCCCTCAAAAAAAATATTGGCTTATGGAAACATCTCCTCTGATTTTTTTTAACAGATTTTTCAGTTGCCGGCACCTCTGATTTCAAAATAATAGTTTGGAGAGAAAGACTATGGTTTTAGCCAAGGCTTGTTTGGGGCAGAATGGATGACAGGCCATCCTTAACGTCCAAAATCTTACTGTCTTGTTATTCAACCCCAGCGATGATTGACAGCTGTTAAAAACCTTTGGTGTCTCCTCAAAGGCCTGTTTGAGTTCTCTGCAAACGAATCAGTGTGAAAGGAAAACCTCAGTTTCCCCCATCTGATAGGCTTGATCGATTGCTCAAGTAGAAATTGGGGATCTAGGTCTCAAAAAACACTAAATACTTTTTGGTTACTTCCGCAGACCTAATTTAAGTGATCTAAGATGCACACCAGAGGCTTACAAGTAGCTTTGAATAGATCTGATGAAGGGGGAAATGTTCAGAGAACTAAGATGAGGCTGCAGTCTCGCTAAACAATTTTTTCCTCGCTTTTTACTCATTTAGGTAGACTTGGTGTCTCTTTCTCCCCTCCCCCAAAATACATAGGTGTTTTGGGGGGTTTCTCCCCCCAACAGATGTTTCCAAACCTTTGTGAGGTTGGATGTAGCCCAGTACATCCCAAGGAAGTATCTCTTGGTTTCTGTCTCTCTTTTTTATTTTATTATTCTTTGAAGATATGTAATGATGGCAGAAATGAGATTTTTTTAAAAAAGAAAAGAAAAAAAAAGAATCTTCCCCTCTAGGATGTATTTTCCGCCTCTATTTTTTTTTGTCCCTGTAAAAAAAAATGTATATGTCAAACTTTTGTTTGTTATTAAATGCAGAATAAAAATATCAAGAATTAGTAGAAACGTGTTTTTTTTGTTCGTTTGTTTGTAATTGTGTGTAATTGTAATTCTTTGACTGGCATTAAGCCCCGAGCACTTGTGTTTCTTTTATTGCCTTGTCGCCTTGTGATATTCTGTTCCTGAAGATCTTGAGCAGTGGTTCTCAACCTGTGGGTCGGGACCCCATTTGGGGTCGAACGACCATTTCACGGGGGTCGTCAAAAACACAGTCCGCCATTTTTTTTCCTCCTTTTCCTTAGCTGTGCTACTCCCTTTTATTCTATTGGCTTTTGAAAGCCAATAGAACAGACTCTTTTGAATAGAGTCTAATTCTCTTGGCTTTCCAAAGCCCATAGGAATTGTCCAGGCTGTCTCTGCCCTGCTGAGCCCGCCAAAAGTCCCATTCTGCAAACGGTGCTGCACCAGTTGAGTAGTCCTCGACTTACGACCGGTTGAGTAGTCCTCGACTTACAACCGGTTGGGTGTCGCGGCATTAAAAAGGTTGAGAACCACTGATCTTGAGGGAGCGATGCAAACTCATTTCTGAAGGCAGCTTCCAAGGATGGGTTAGTTTCAATAGACCATTTTCAAGTACCCTGTGACAGACTGAGTCTCAGTGGCTTGTTTGCACACCCTCCAATTTTATGACTTTGTAAGACAACACTAGTTTTCCCAGTTGCAATGTATGGATTTGAAAGTTGGACCACAAGAAAGGCTGAGCGCCAAAGAATGGAGGCCTTTGAACTATGGTGCTGGAGAAGACTCCTGCCAGTCCCCTGGACTGCAAGGCGATCCAACCGGTCAGTCCTAGAGGAGATCAACCCTGACTGCTCTTTAGAAGGCCAGATCCTGAAGTTGAAACTCAAGTACTTTGGCCACCTAATGAGAAGGAAGGACTCACTGGAGAAGAGCCTAATGCTGGGAAAGATGGAGGGCAAGAGAAGAAGGGGACGACACAGAACGAGGTGGCTGGATGGAGTCCCTGAAGCAGGAGGCGTGAGCTTAAATGGACTCCAGAAGACAGTAGAGGACAGGAAGGCCTGGAGGAACATTGTCCATGGGGTCATGATGGGTCGGACACGACTTCGCAACTAGTAACAAGAAGAAAAAGACAACACCAAGTCACAAACTTAACACAGGCTGGGTTTGCACAACAAGCTCTGTGTGAGTGAGTGAGAAATTTAGGGATGGGGGATCCCTCCAAACGGAGCTGCCAGAGGACACCCCAGGCCCTCCCATAGGCTTTGTTCCCCAAGAGGGCCCAAGGCCGTGCTCGGGTTTGTTAATTTATATCCGCCTTTATTTATCAATAACTCAAGGCAGAGAGTGTATCTCATAGCCCCTCTTCCTATTTTTCCCAGTACAAACACCCTGAATTGGGGGAAGGGAGTTGGGATTGTTCCCAAGGTCACCCAGCCCTCTTCATACCTAAAGCAGGACTAGAACTCACCGTCTCCTGGTGATTGGTCCCTGGTCACCCAGCCGCCTTTGCAAGCCTAAAGGGGAACTAGAACTCACCATCTGCTTAGTGATCTGCTTAAAGTAACCTAGCTGCCTTTCATGCCTAAAGCAGCACTAGAACTCACCGTCTCCTGGTGATTGACCCCGGTCACCCACCTGCCTTTGCAAGCCTAAAGGGGAATTAGAACTCGCCATCTGCTGCTTAGTGATCTGCTTAAAGTCAGCTGCCTTTCATGCCTAAATCAGGACTAGAACTCACCGTCTCCTGGTGATTGGCCCCTGGTCACCCAGCCAGCTTTGCACGCCTAAAGGGGAACTAGAACTCGCCATCTGCTGCTTAGTGATCTGCTTAAAGTCACCTAGTTGCCTTTCATGCCTAAAGCCAGGACTAGAACTCACCATCGCCTGGTGACTGACCCCTGGTCACCCACCTGCCTTTGCAAGCCTAAAGGGGAACTAGAACTCGCCATCTGCTGCTTAGTGATCTGCTTAAAGTCACCTAGCTGCCTTTCATGCCTAAAGCAGGACTAGAACTCACCGTCTCCTGGTGATTGGCCCCTGGTCACCCAGCCAGCTTTGCACGCCTAAAGGGGAACTAGAACTCGCCATCTGTTTAGTGATCTGCTTAAAGTCACCCAGCCGCCTTTGCACGCCTAAAGCGGGACTAGAACTCTCCGTCCGCTTAGTGATCTGCTTCAAGTCACCCACAACCCCGCCGTCCTGCCGAAAGTGGAACTAGAACTCACCGCCTGCCTCTCCTTCTAACCGGGTGCCTTCCCTCTCCTGGCCCAAAGCGGCTCAAACCCGGCGCCGGGGGCTCCCTGTCCGTCTCTACCCCGGAGCAAGACCCCCACCCCGGTCCTTCCCTCCCCCCCCGAACCGGGGAAGCCCGCAGAAGCGGCGGTGCAGCGGCGACTTCCAGCCGGGGGTTGCGCGCGGGGCGGCTGCGCTTCTCGGCGCCCGGCTGGCTCGGCTCTGCCCAGCAGGAAGCGGAGCGGGAGGAGCCTCGTCCGCCGCCTCCTCCTCCTCCTTCTCCTCCTGCGGGGGATTCGGAGAGGCCAGCCCGGCCCGGCCGCCTGGCTTCTGCCGGCGCTGCGCGGGGATGGCCGGGGCCGGCTGGGCGCCTCCGCAGCTGGAAGACTTCCTGCTGACCGAGCGGCTGGGCAGCGGCACCTACGCCACCGTCTTCAAAGCCTACCGGAAGGTAACGCGGGGCCGGGCCGAAGCAGCCCGGAGCCGCCTCTCGCTGGGACTTGGGGGGCTCCGAAGTGGAGCCTCCCCAGCGCCGGGAAGTCTACCTGGAAGATGCTCAGCCGCGCGCCGCTCCTGGCGCTGGCTGGGTTGGAGGGCGCGCTCGCGCGCGCAAAGGGAAGGAAGCCAACCGGACAGGAGTTGGTGGGTGGGTGGGATGATTGAGACCCCCCCCAAACCTCCTTCCCTCTGGGGTTTCCCAAAGGTTGTGGTCTTGGGGTGGGGTGGGGGTCTCTTCCCTTTTGGAAAAATTAGGATGGACCCCCTTCCCCGCCCCCAAAAGAGAGTGTTCTGGGGTGCATGGATGATCTGTGGATAGGGTTGGAAATGAAAGTGGAAGCATCCCTGGAATGGTGCAGGATGACCAAATGAAAGCAAGGAAAGGCTGCTGCATTTTTCATGAAAGGCCCCCCCCCCAAAAAAAACCCTATTATTTTGTTAGCACTTTAAAAATAAGGAGGAGCAAAGGGGCATCTATTGATTAAATTTATTTATTTATTCAATTTTTATTCCAACCCATCTTCCCTACAAGCACCCAGAGTTTAAAAAAAAATATTAAGCTAAAAAATATAAAATATCCAAGGTTAACAACGTATTTTAGAAAGCTAAAAAATATAAAATACCCTAGGTTTAAAAAGACCATTTAAAAAAGCTAAAAAATATAAAATACCCTAGCTTAAAAAAAATCATTTTAAAAAACTTAAAAATATAAAATAACTAATGTTAAAAAAATATTTGAAAAGCTTAAAAATATAAAATATCCAAAGTTAAAAAAATAAATTAAAAAAAACTAAAAATATAAAATACCCAGGGTTAAAAAAAAACATTTTAAAAGCTAAAAAATATAAAATACCCAAGGTTAATTTTTTTTTTAAAAAAAGCTAAAGATATAAAATAACCAAGGTTAAAAAAATGTTTAAAAAGCTAAAAATATATAAAATAGTCAAGGTTAAAAAAAACATTCTAAAAAGCTAAAAAAACATAAAATATCCAAGGTTAAAAAAAAATTAAAAGCTAAAAAATATAAAATACCCAAGGTTATATATATATATATATATTTATATATAATGCTAAAAAAATATAAAATACCCAAGGTTTAAAAAAGCATTTTAAAAAGCTAAAAAAATATAAAATAAGAACCTTACTAGAAAATTCCAAACTCTTTTCTTTTCTGCCTTGTTAGAAGAATTCCCGGGAAGTGGTGGCCATCAAATGCGTGAGTAAGAAGAATCTCAACAAGGCCTCTGTCGAAAACCTGCTGACCGAAATTGAAATCCTCAAAAACATCCGGCACCCCCACATTGTGGAGTTAAAGGACTTCCAGGTGCAAATCAGAAGGGGGGGGGGCTTTGAGCTGAGATTGAGTGCAGTTAGAAGTGTGAGGACTAGTCGTAAGTTTCTTTTTTCAGTGCCGTTGTAACTACTAACTGCAGGCATTTCTTTGACCAAGCTAATTAGAGCAGGGCTTTTCAACCTTTTCACCCATTGTACCACTTTTAGGATATGGCAATATCCGAGGACCACCAGTCACCTAGCAAGGGGTCAAAAACTTGATGAACAAAAAAAAAAAAAGGAAAAAAGTGATAAAATACAGGTAGTCCTCGACTTACAACAGTTCGCTTAGTGACTGTTGGAAGTTACAATGGCACTGAAAAAGTGCCCCCCAAGCCACAACTGAGCAAGACCCCTGCCTGCCCGCCCGGCCATGCTCTTCCTCCTGTCCGAGGTTTTCATTGTTATGAGCATTTCTGTTGAGGATTGGCAGCAGGGGATGGGGTGTGGGGGTGTTTGGTTTTTATTCCCCCCGTCTGCTGGGTGGTTGCAGCAGGTTTTGGTCACTTCACATGACGCTGGGACACTCTGACCGTCATAAATATGAATCAGTTGCCAAGCATCTGAATGTACATCACAAGACCCTGGAGAGGCTGCAACATTCCAGCTGATCGCCGCTTCTTCTGGGCTCAGCAGAAGCACCAGGATCAGTGCTGCTTTCCAGCTGATTGGTGCTTCTTCAGGGCTCAGCAGAAGCACCAGGATCAGCGCCGAGCTCCAGGTGGAGCGTGGTGCTGATCCTGGCGCTTCCGCTGAGCCCTGACAGCCCCGAAGAAGCGCTGATCTTGGTGCTTCTGCTGAGCCCTGACAGCTCTGCAGCTCCAGCCATCTCTTGCTCAGGCTTGTGCGGTGCTGCCACCGGTTCAGCTCATTCCCCTCCCCCGCTACCACTTTTTATTTATTTATTTCCCCCCCCCCCACTTTTCTAGGATGGTCACGTACCACCTGCCAGGTGCCAATGTACCACAGGTGGTAC